CCTCTTTCTGTATCAAACTCCATTCCAAATGCTAAATCTTATTTTGAAAGCTTGAGGAGGTGGTGGCGGCGGCAATTTAGAAACACTTCAAAGCCTCTAAAAACAGCCAAATGAATTCACCTCTAATTGACATTCTCAAAAGTGAAGTTGTTTTAATACAAGAAAATATCTTTGGAAAGGGTAGCGTATGAAATGAAAAGTGTGTATTTTCAATAATCTCATGTGAAATACTTAACAGAAAAATCTCCCAGCTCTGATTTTTCTGTACACTCTTAAAAAAAGATTAAAGAAAAGGAGTAAACGCTCATAATTAGGCATCTCATAAGGTCACTTCGTTTTTTGTTTGTTTGTTTTTTAATTAGATAGGGCAAATTAAAAAAAGAAACACCTGAATGTGATGTTCAAACACCCCTGTGCAGTTGGATCCACTTCTCTGTCCTTAAAAGCGGCCCTGATCTTTGAGCTGGTCCCTCCCTTTCTTGCTCCTACTGGCTTTGAAAAGCAAACACCTTGTCCCTCCACCAGGCACTGTTCTGTCCAGAGCGAACATGATGTGGAGGCTGTTCTTCAAATTAAACGGACTTTCTGCTTAGATCTCTCCTTTGACCTTTAGTCCTAAAATAAGTGTACACATATGAAAACACTTAAAATTTGTGTATCTACGGTAAGGTGGAAGGAAGTTAATTATCCAAATGAGGCCTTGCAAATTTTACTTAAAATTACACAAGGTGAACAGTGTGCATTTTCAGGTGTACATCAGGAAGCGGTGAATAAAAAATTTCAAGAAGTGAAGAGTATAATTTTAAATAAATGTCAATTAAAATCTCTATGGCAGTGGCTCTCAAACGTGAGCGTGTGTCAGCATCACCCGGACGGCTTGTGAGGGTGGCCTGCCGGGGCCCAGCCCAGTCTGGTTCAGGTGGGCTGAGAACTTGCACTCCCCACAAGCTTCCCGTGATGCTGATACCACTGGTCCGGTGGGGGGCACCTGGAGAGCCACTGCTCTAAGTCACGTCCATTCTACTAAGACTTCTTGCTCACGAAGGAAGGAGTGTGGCATTTGGAAGCCCTGGACCGAGAGCCAGGAGCCGTGTTCCCAGTGCAGCTCTACACCTGACAGAAGGTACACTCAGCTTACTACCGCACTTCCACCAGGATTCACGGCGCATCCACCGTGTGCAAGGAGCAGAATGGTACGAACAACCTTCACCTTCAAACAGCTTTCAAGTCAGTACGGGGCAGATCTGTACACAACGCACTACCACACTTACTGGGACATCCTGGGTACCGTAAAATACAAACTAATGAAGTCAGGGGCCTCACCCCAGAAACACAAGCTCATTTGTCTGGCAACGAGGAAGGTGACATCCTAACAGAGATGGCACCGGACACAGGCTTTGAGATGGAAAGGAAGTGGGACAGGGCGTGGGGACAAGGGGGGCATTTGGAAGCCAGGGCGGCCTGATGAAAGATGGACTGGTCAGGACTCTCCATTGCTCGTGATTTCAACTCAACTCACACGGACTTCAACAACCACACAGTGGGGGGGGCTTACTGCCTCATGTAACCGACACATCCAGGGGTAGGTCTGGTTTCAGGAATGGAATTCAGATGCCCAGAACAGTGTTCAGAAACCATTCCCCTTGTCCCTCAGCTTTCATGCAGCAGCTAATTCTCCGGTAGGTGGAGCCACGTGGAGACAAGGTTGGCACCAACGGCCCCAGGTTTGTCCTTTACCAGCGTTAACAACCCTAATCAAAGATATAGCCCTTTTGTCAAAAGCCTGGCGGTTGGCACTCACTGGACCCTCTTGGGTCACACCTCCATTCCAACGAGGCAGAGGGACTTGAACACACCGATCGTCCCAGCCTGGATCACATGCAGGCATGGTGAGGTGACACCCGCTCAAACCTCACCGGCTGAGTAGAGATGGGCGGATTCCCAAAGAAAAGCAGGGTGCTATTTCCACAAGGCCTTCCCTGCTAGGTATTGTGCAGGAGGAAACAGCTCAGACCTACTGTAGATACGAAGAGCCCCAAGCTGGAATCCCACAGGTAACCATCAGGACAGGAGCTAATTTAACAAAGTCCCTACCTACCTCTCAGGTCCTCTCCCAGGGGACTTGGCACAGCCTGGCTTCTGGCCGCAGAGTCCGGTCTAGGGCAGTGCACTGGTCCTGTCCCCTCTGCCTACAGCTTCTCTTCTTTGCAGCAGCAGGAACCCTGCAGGGGGAACCGTTCAGCTCAGGGGGTGGGGCGGGCAACTGCAGTGGTGGCCCCTCTAGGCCATGTCTGGATCTGTGGTCTCCAAGTATCTAAACAGGGAGGTCAGCTCAGCCACTGTGCAGGTTTCTCCCACGGCCTGGAGTCCACTGTCACCTCTTAGAAGACTCTGGGCCTTCCCTGTCCCTTGGGGCTGCTGCTGTGTGTGTACTGGCCAGAGTGGAGCCGCTGCTCACAGGCTGCCCCACGGAGGGAGGCCCCCCCACGGCTGCCAATACTTTCTGCCTCTCCCTGAACTGTTCTGTCCCAGGCTTCCACTCTTTGAAAGGGAAAGGGACAACCACAGAGCCCAAGGAACCAGAGGGTTGGGCTCTGGTAGCAGAGGGGACAGCTCTGTGCCGGTATGGCTGTGTCTGGGGCATGTGGCTGTGATAGAGAGGCCTCTGAAACTAGGCACTAAAGGCTGTTTGCTTCGGAGAAGTCACAATGAAATCTGGGACAGCAGAATTAGAGCTGTTGTACTTTTTGCCATGAACCTGGCTCAGACAAAATCATTTCTGCCAGACCCAAAGGTCTGGCAGAGACGTGCAAAACCCGAGGCTAACGAAGTAATCCCCAACCCAAACGCTTGAGCCCTGTGGGGCCAAGGTGAGCAGGGGAGGGACCTGTGGGGTGAAATATAATTGCCCGGCCTCTGGAATGTCCTCAGGAACGCCAGGAGGCCCAGAGGAAGGCGACGATGGGTTGGAAAAATCCCGTTCCCATTACTCAAGACCAAACCTCTGGCCCTCCAGCCCCGGGCCAGCGACGGCCACGTGGGGAGGCCCCGGCCCTTCACCTTTGTGCTAGGGAGCCGGCACTTCCACTGCGCCCGATGCCCTCCTGCCAGACTGCCTCCCTAATGGCTGCGTATGGCCGTGCTCACGACTGCGGGGCCCACATGCCATAGGCTGGAGAGCTGCCGCTCCTCGGCTCTGAGCCCAGGACATGCTCTCTGTGCCGTGGGAGAAGCAGGATGAAAGGAAAGCCTCAGTCCTCCAGTCTGGTTTCTACGTTTAGGTCGACATCTATAACCTTCCGTTTTTAGAATCAGATTTAAATTCTTGGCTTTTATGATTAATTTTATCAAATTTTTTCTAGCTTAGAAAGTTTAAAATGCTCTTTGCCTTAAAAAAAAAAAAGGATTAGTTTAACTGCCTCACAATGGAACACCTTCTAATTCTGATTTAATAATCCATTCACCTGGGGGACTCTGAGCCTTATTTGGTTGTTGTAAGACAGCAGAGAAGGGGTATTTCATATCCAGTTCACAATTCTCAGTTCCAAGTGCACAGGTTAACCTAATTTCTGAAATAAATTATTATCCTAAAGTTACCAGCCATAAATCTGAGCCAGTATAGACAATGATTTTCAATCTTGGACAGTGGTAGAGCACCAAAGTTTGAGGCACAGAATATAAATATCATAAAATTGCCCCAATCACCCCTATCATCTATCTATCAATCAATCAATCAATCACCTATCGATCTTATACACAGCCATAACAGGGGATGGGTATTTCCCCTCAGGTCTATGGACACTCTGACCCAGACAACAGGCCCCTCCCAGCCTCCCCCGGGGTCACCTGTGCTCCGGGGCTGTCTGGGAAAAGGCAGTGTTGTTGCTGCCTGTCCCCTGAGCAGAAGAACAGCTGCCTCTGGACCTCAATGCAATACATTCTCCAGGAGTGAGGGTCCTGGTTTTGTGGCTTCCTCAACTGCCCCAGGCCTGTGTATCAGTGACTGCAAGAAGCCACCCCGATGTAAGAACAGGACCCCACCCCGTCCCCCCTTGGGACTGACTGAGACCTCCTTGGCTTTCTTCTACTGAATCCAACACACAGGCTGGGGCTGGGGCACGACACTGCTGTCACAGGTGGACGGGGTTCAGTGGCTGGGGTCCCATCACAAGTGACACGACAGGGTTGGTTACTCACATGGCAGATTAGCTATATCCCTTGGCCTGCCTCTTCGTGGGTATTTTACTGCTCATTTATTGTCTCTCCTAAACATGGAGAAGGAAGAGAAGCAATCTATCAACTTGACATGTCACTTCCCACACCGGCACATCTGGCAGAGCCCAACAGACCTGCAGGGAGAGCACCAACTCTCTGGGCTCTGCCTCTTTCTCTGAAAGTGCAGCGTCTGAGAACACTTTTTATAGCACATCTGGCAGTTTTTGCATGATGTTAAACAAAATGCTATAAATCGATGTGCTAGATTTGCCTATGTTATCAAAGTTCTCAGATAAACCAATATGTGGTATAGCTCTGCTAAATTAATTTGGATATCAGTATCTGTTAAAGATAGTGAACTATCTAGCCACATTTTCCCCCAAAGTTGGGGTCAATTAAATTTGACCAGCTATGCCAGGGCTTCGAAGATTAAAGATAAAATGTCTACAACTAGTATTAAGAATGACCTAGTTTATTGAAAAAAAACAATTAAAAGCATTTCAAAAACAAGGTCTGGTCTGATAATTTTATACGTTTTGAAAAAGAATCCTTCTTTCAAGAGGCTATACAAATTATTAGTGCAACATCAAAATTTACAAAATCTATTTTTGACTGAATTGCATTTGTTCCTTATATGGGGCCCTCCCTGAATGAGGCAACTATGGAGATTTTGGAAAAAGATTTACAATAAAGGCGATAATCTCATCACATTAGCTAATATCCCATGAGTAAGGCTAAGAGGAAACAACCAAGAAAATGATAACATTTTACTTTTTTTTTTAAAAAAAAGGTATCGGGCATAACTTCCATCAGCAGTTATTAAAACACGAGTGATGAAATTTGTGAGTGTAAAAACAGGTTGAAGGCCAGCGACTGAACATGACATTGCTTTTCTAGGCAAAGAAACCCTAAGATGGATCAGCTATGTCAGCGACTGGGCTGAACTAACTAAAAGGGAGCTGGTCTCTCGAATACGTTTTCTCCAAATGATGCTGATTGTTGTGATTCGGTGATCAACCATGAACCATGTTTAAGTGGAGGATGTAAGCGGAAGTGTGACACTGGTGACAGGCAGAGGCCACTGCCCATGGTGGGGTCTGCACCAGTGAGCAGGTGGCCCTCATTGTACTGCCAGGGCTACGCACAGGTGCTAATAAGCCAGCACCGCAAACTCAGATCACGGCTTGCCTTGTACCAAATCAATCAAAAATACCTAGCAAGCGCGTTCTCTAACTCCCCCTCCCTTTCAAGTACTTGTGCAGATCGGCTTTATTGAAAGTGAACGCGCAGAGACGATGCAGCACAAAACGGTTTTCCAGGATCAAGCCCTGGGGGATCCTTTGCAATTTATTAGAAAGCAGAGGCTCCCCAGAGCAGTTACTTATTTTTGCTGAGGGTTCTCTGCTTCTCCGCGTGCTCGACAATCTTCTCCTCCACGTACAGCCCCTTCCGCTTCCGCACGGCGTTCATGTACTTCCGGGCCTGGTTCTCACAGTCAGCCTTCTCCCCGAAATGCAAGTACTCCTCCTCGGTGGTCGGCACCCAGAAGGGGTCGCTGGGAATGATCTTGGGAGAGAAAGCGACAGAGTGTGCTAGGTTAGGCATCTACACTTTCATGCCCAATGCCGGTTCATGGAGTCTTAGCTAAAGAATAAAAGCTAAGCAAGGAGCAGTTAAGCTTGGAGGAACAGTCATCTACAGGCATGAAGAAAAGAGGAGGTGGGAACAAACGGAAGCAGAGCCCACGGAGCTCGCAGGGGGTGTATTCTTCTTTGCTCAGAGCCATTACACACCACGAAGGACGAAAGAGCACTGTTAATTTTCAATCACCTCCAAGCTCTCCCTTTCAGTCGGCTCTATCTGGGTTTCACTGTCTTTTCATTAACTTGGTCTTTGTCCCCAGAAAAGATCAACACATGTTAAGCCCACTCTTGACTATTCTGAGCTTTGGCCCCGAAGTTCAGTGGAGTTGCTGGTGAGCAGGCCAAATGGATCATGTAGTTTGCCGGGACCAGAGGCAGACACGGCAGCCTCCCCGCCTCCTTCTCTGGGCCCACGCCTGTTTACTGATGGGGAGGAAGCCATGTCCAGGGGAAGGCGTGCTGACAAGTTTCCCACTGAGGCTACTCTTGGGGGAAAGGGAGAAGGGCAGAGCTTGGACAAGGAAAAGCAACCGAGAAAGGGTTAGTCTGGAAGCCAGACTGCCCTTAGGCCCGAGACGACAAGCAGCCAAGTCGTGATGTCCCAGGAGGTGGTGAACTTGGACACAGAACCAAGGGGCTGACTTCCAGGCCAGGGGAGAGGACTGTGCATATGCTGACATCCCCCCCCCCGCCCCCGCCCAAATCCTGCTATGAGAGGAACACCACTCGATGGGTTCCTTCAGAGACAGAAAGCTCTGTGAGCCTAACAGACACTCCTGGCCCCTCTGCCTCCTCACCACGGTACCCCCTGAGAATCTGCCTGGTGAGTGTGAGAGGAGAAAACAGACTTGGGTAGCCTGGCCTCTTCTTCTTCGCCTTCTACTGGAAGCACACAACCTGCTCTCTTGTCTGCCACTCTGCTGAAGGGGTAGACTGGCCAAGGCCCTCCTAACATGAGGGGCATCCTGAGGGCTTTCATGGAGCACCTCATGCCATCTGCAGGCATGCCATCTGCAGGCTACCTGAGGCCCAGCAGTTCACTGGGTGCCCAACGTGACCCAGCTGGTAGGTGGTGTGCATCCGTCTGCAGTGAGAGCTCCTTTTGGGCTCTGCCCTCTGCCAGTCCTACGTGCCCCCTTCTCCCACCGGTCTCTGCTGTGGCTTTGTCACAGGAAGACACAGGTGACTCTTTCTTTGTGGGTAGGCACCCTCAGTGTGTGCTTGACAAATATATGTTGTGAACTGCTGTGTACCTGCCGTGATTACAGAAAGCCCAGCTTATTATTAAAAATGGGTATTTTCTCCTTCTTCCTGAGTACTTGACACCTGTACGAGCAGACGGAGACTGTAAGCCTCGCAGAAAACGATGGCGAGGCCCGCACCAGAGCAGTGGGTGGCACTGCTGATGCAGAGGTCCCCACACCCTGCTGAGGGGCTGTCCAGGTGCTGAGGGCAGGGAGAAGTCTGGGGGCAGGACTAAGACAGCTGTAGGTGCAGATTTTGTGGCTGGAGACAAGTGGTTGGTATGAGTGCTTCCTGAAATGGGCTGCTGCCGCCCTACTGGACAGATGGGACTGGACCAGACAAGCAACTGCATAGCCAAGACCAGCGAGGCTCTGGAGGGCCCTGTGTGGACCTGCGGCCCCCACTTTCCTCACTGCCACACAGTCACAGTCGAGTTCTCGCGGGAACCATGAGGAGGGGGCAGAGAGGCCAGGAGTGTCTCAGGCTCATGGAGTTTGCTCTCCCTTGGGCGGGGCAAGGAAAAGAAAGGGAATGGAACATTTACCTGGACAACCATCCACAAAGACTGTCTATACTGCAAGCGGCTAGTTTTAAGCTCGTTACTGGCACCCTCCCCTAGCCAGCTGGACGATAAGCCCACCACAGAATATAAAGAAGCTACATTTTCTTAGCAGGTGTGAGTGCCAGTGGCGAATAAATTTTTAGTCCTGTTAAAAAAGTGACAAATTTTATAGAGAAATAAATGAGGTGCTAGTTGAGAGATACCAGACTCAGACTGGCCAACTGGAGACCAGAGTCCTTGTTTCAAAAATATAAGACCCACGAGTTTCAAACAAGATCCAGTTTTGCCTGGGCCTGCAGCACATACTTCTGAAGTCTGTTTCCCAAGAGTCCAGGAACTTTCCACACTCAGCTCCACAGCCCCGGGGGCTCCTCTAGGACCAGCTCCATACCACCCCTCCTTGTTGTCCTCTGGCCTCTGCAAGGGCTGCTGTCCCCTCACTACTCTTCATCTGTGTGGACATCTTGAAACCTCGTGCCCCAACATGCCCAACGACCTCTCCGAACAAGGGCGATGGAGCAACCCCCGGCCGTGTCAGGCTCATTTTAAATTTCCTTATGGGGCACAAGGCGTCGTTCAGGCTGTGCTATGCAGAAAGGTCCCTGGAGGCCACAGAGCAGAGCTTGCTATCAGTTTGGAGGAAAGGTGCCGTTTTCTAACTGGCTCACCCAGAATTCATCTACCTCCAGTGAGGATGTTTTTCTGCAACCCTACGGCCTGAGGGGGATGCCGTTTTGTAATTCACAGGAAGGAAGGCACCCAAAAGCTATCTGTTGCCCTGGGCATGTAAAAAAAAAAACCCAGAAAGAAAAAGCTTTGGAAGCTCCATTTCAATTTTTTGCCCAGTTTTCACCAAGATTATGGCCAACAGGTGGAAAACACCATGTTGAAAATAAACTCCTTGATGCTATGGTGATCACTTCTTCCTTACCCTGTATGAACCTGGCCAACCTCTCAGGGAAATCGCAATATTAAATGGTGAAGCTGAGGTTATGCTGACATACATGTAGAATGGCACTGGTTGGCAATATTTTGCTTTCTGGGCTGTTATTAGCTCCTTTTCTTCCTCTTTCACAGAAGGGTAAAACATAGAAAAAGAAATTACGAGATTGCTGACTTCAAAGGTTTCCTCATGGAAAATGCCTGTGATTTTATTTTCCCTATTTTTTTTTAAGCACTTTCTCTCAAAAGCTGTTGATTGTAAATTACATGGTGTGGTAGAATACAAATGAAAAAAAGTGCCTTGGAGTGAGAAGCCAGATCTCAACTGTGTTATTTCTGAACCTAACTATGGGGGGAAAACTGAGACAGCCAAAAAATATCAGATCAATGACATTTAATTATAATGTAGTTTTCAAGACGTTTGGAGATGGGAAGCTTTGGGGAGTCAGACCGTGACAGGTGGCAAGGGGATAACAGAAGGATAGATGAAATCGAGCAAACTCTTCTTGACTACATTTTTCTCTAAAGTTGTTTATTAAGAGACTGATTTTTAATAACAAGCTGCAACTAAGCCCAAAACTAGTATTTTTTAAAAAAACTACCAGCAAGAAGGTAAAAATAATTTTCTGCATTTTTTTTTTAATTTTGAGAGAAAGGAGACTAAAAAACCATCATGGTTTTCACATTAACAAAAATTGCCTATTTGATAAAAACTTGTTTTTTACGAGTTGTTCGTAAATAGCCATTCTTTCCTTTTTTTTTTTGTTAACAGGTATTTCAGGCAGACATAATGCCACTTAGGTCTGGGGGTGGGTGGAAGAGAGGGTAGGCACACTTTTCGTATAAAGAGCCAGATAGTAAATATTGTGGATTGCAGGCCATATGGTCTCTGTCTTAACTACTCAACTCTGCTTGAAAGCAGCCATAGAAAATATGTCAAAGAATGGATACGGCTATATTCCAGTAAATTTCATTTACCAAAACAGGTAATGCGGCACAGTCGGCTGACGTCCGATGGAGTTAAAGACTACAATTCCCAGTCTCCTTGTCAGGTGGGACCTTGTTAGATGTGGCTGTAGACTGGTTCTGGGCAATGGGGTGAGGGGAGGTGATCTGTGCAGCACCCAGTCGGTGCCCTTAGAGGAGGGCAGGCGTATGCTCTCCTCTTCCCAGTCCCTGTTCTGACTGGCGGGAGTGCAGATGTGATGGTGGGAGGTGCACCGGCCACGTGGAAGCCTCGTGCTGAG